AGCGCTCAGCGAATATAAGAACTCGCTTTTCTATGCAAAAGCTCCAACATCATGCGAAAACCGTTTCGGAAAAGCGCTCCATAACCTGAGAGACTTTTTTACAATTGTGCTCCATTAAATGAAATATCACACCAAGAGCTTCCGACTTCTCTAGGAAATATTCAATTTTGGCTACTTGGAATACATATAACTCATTTTCAGATTTTCTTATGTTCTTTCAACGAAAGCTCACCAAATGCAGGAAATTTTCTTAGTGCTGATGTGATCATTTTTGATTTCGGACTTTTCCACGAACTTATACAGGTGAGCTCTTCTGAAACCTTTCCAATTCCGCATGCTTACTATTTATGGGAACCTTGACGCAGATAAATGTTCTCAAAAGAATGGGAGTTTCATGTTTGAATACGTGGTTGTTACCCAACACCCCTTGCCTACCGAAAGGGTATAGCTCTACCTACGCCTAGCTTACGCCATCGATGCGCGAACCCCATCAGGGGAGGGTCGTATTTGGTGCTAATAGTATAGGGTAGCCGCTTTTGCCTTTAAGGAACATTTTTTCGAATATTGATTTTTCCCGCCTCGATCGCGTTATAATTTCGCTCCTCTTCCTCACTAGAGGAGCTCTGGGGAAATTTAGAGGGGAAGGAAGGCTATGGGTTTGGTTTGGTATGTCACGAAATGGGGGTGGGTAGGATGTGTGGTATCACTGACACCACACATCCTACCCACGCTTCTTCCTCTACCGGGTGCTATCTTAGCTATTGGGATCAGGGCACGGCATGTCGCTGGAAAATTCTTGGGAATACCCTTCCCCCCAGTTCCCGTCTAATACGACCCCCTTCCGCATCCCACCTACTATCTTGCCAACTTTTCAAAGTTTCCCACCACTTTTTCCGAAATTTCCCAAAATTTTCCAGGTTTTTCCCCGAAATTTTCTGCCGAGCGTGTCAGCGAAGCGGGGAGGCAACAGGGCAACAGCACCAGTAAAGGGGAAAAACTGCGAAAAGCCGACAACCTGAAAAAGCAACGCGACAAATCTATCAAAGGCGTGAAAGGCAATACGAGTCAACTTTTCCCAACGACAACCAAATACGACCCCCAGAGCTCGGGATTCCCATAGTAGGATTTGTGCCTGAGGGTTCTTCCACTCCCTTCGGGTGCTCTTGGGACGTACGGGTCGTTCGGGCTCCCGGAGTTCATGCTCCTCACTCCCCTGTCTTAAGGTCTGTCTCGGCTAGCAATTTTGACAGATTACCTCCAGGGAACATCAAGGTCGTTCCAGTCGTAATGAGGAATTTCCACTTCCTTTTAGCATTGAACAAAGCGCCCTGGGTTCTAGCAGTCCTGGCAATGTCCTTTTGTTGAATTTAGCCTTCACTTGAAACGCTTGAAATCCAAATGGAACACTACCAATGTTCTTAAGTCTCGTTTACAGCCGATCTAGCCGCTCGATCTATCATCTCGGTCTTTTCCGCCCAGTGCTCTTTACATTTATCTCATTGTTGGCGTGCTGATTGCAATTTGTAACCGGCAATTTTCTTTGCAGGTGCAAGAATGTATCGCTAACTACCTAGACGGAGGCTATATGCGATGTTTATGGTGTTTAGGACAAATGGCTGCTCTAGCATTAACCATTGGTAAGTTTTCCCAAATAGCTCTCATTTCCGTCGATATTACTCATAGTCGCTGTACAATTTCGGAGTCATAGACCCTGACTCCATGAAAATAAGTGTTTTTCTATTGGCAAATCAAGTTTCTGGAAAACACCTTTGTTCCGCCCCAACTCAGTATTTTCGAAAAGTGGACCATGAAAGCTGCACACCCCAAGAGCTCGAGCGGTGTTGGGGTAGGGGCGGATGACGCCACTTATCAAGGGCACTGTCAGTGATCAAATCTCATGTCCTTTCTTACCCAGGCCAGCCAAACTTCCATTTCCAGGGTCGCTTGAGTGGTGCGTACCGCCTCAAAAGATAAAAATGATGATGCCCTCGCGGCTCATCAGTCTCTTTTTGGGTCTACTTCCATTCAGAATCGTAGTAGGTCTCTGAATACGATAAGGCCTATAGGATGACTTGCGAGGGCCAGCCAATATACAAGTAAGTGTTGCTATCCTCCCAGGACAATCTAGTACCAATTGACTGTCCCCGGAGGTAGGAGGCTTGGTTAGCCTGGTGGGGGCCGATCTCAGACGCCAGTCTGTCCACTTAGGAGATAAAAATATCGGATAAGCCATCTTGAGCATATCAGCATGCACCACTGGTGGAGCTGGTGTAGGGGGAGGGGAGTCTGGCGCTGCTAATTACGCGCTAACCATAAATACCTACCTCATTTTAGGCCAAATGGCATCAACTAGCCACTCCGACTTTGAATGGAACCAGAATGCTTGACCCGTATCAACAGAAAAAAATGATAAACATCAGTAGCTAACCCTTTGACCCCACCTTATCAGAACGCCTTCCGACTTCTTTCCGATATAAAACCTGTTGTATTTCCTCAGCTCTTAATATGTAGAGTCTTTCCGAAATTCGAAGGCGTCTTCTAGTCGGGATGATCGTTAAAGGCAGTGAGCACGACTTCCGGGGCGGGCAATTAATACCAACCTTATTTGTGGAAGGGTGTGAGCTGTGGCCAACGCCTTCTCGAAGTCCTTCCACCAGTGGCGCTGGCAACAACCGCCCGCCTCGAGCAGTCCTGTCCACTGCCTTTGATAGAGTCCCAGGGGATCATTCCCTGAAACTTGTCATCTTCCGGAACCTATGATTCCTTTCACTAATGAGTCTCTTATTTCAGTGACTTGCCTGGGTGTAGCACATCCGCATCCGTTGCTGTTGTGGCCACAGCTTATCATACAGAA